GAAAGAAGAAGTTTCTGTAGCAGCACAGACTGATTTTTCTTCCGAGACCCTTATTCAACCCGTGAATGTACGTAATGGATTTGTCGCCCTTGCACTTCCAAGGGTACACAGAAACTCAATTCGCCGTAATTGGAAACAATCGACCCCCTCCCCCACAATTGAAAATTATAACAAAATGCAATGGATTAAATAAGAAGATATTTATACTAATATAAATAAAGTATCCTGTATCCAACGCCATGAATTACAAAAGATTCTTTTTATATCCAAATCTGTAAACAGGGCATAAGAACACAGACCCTCGGAAATGGCAAATATTTGGACACCATTGTTCGCCAGAAAAGTAAATAATAATCTGATCGTGGTAAATGTCCACACAATAAGTGGAATCTTTTTATTTCAATATTCACACTTAATATTTTATAATAATTTATATTGATATGATTGCTCTGTAGTTTTCACGACATCCGTTTTTTTTTTTAATTTTACGATTTTTTTAAAAAAAGGTATGTCTTTTTAATTTTTTTTTTCCTCAAAAGATATCGACGAAAACACTGAGTCTAATTTTATATTTCAGTACATAATTTATTTTAAATATTTTCACTCAAAATTATCCACAAAAGGCATAATGTTGACCCTGATTATCAAAAACCGGACTTCCTGTGGAATGCAGCGGGTATAGGGATTTTTGACATCTTGAGTATTGGGGCTCTCCAGGTAAATAATACCAGTACTACCAAGACCACTCCCCCTCCTCAAGTAACCGTATGGTAAAAAAATTGGGTCTTTAAAGAAATATTATAATAATTAATCAAATAAATAATAAAAACACTTAAGATCAAAATAAAATCATTAAAACATGTAATTACTTTTACTTCATATATAATCTTAGAATACATAGATAATATAAGACGTCCAGACATTTCTCAATGATAATCGTTGAAGTTATGTAAAAAATACATAACTTCGTCGTCATCCAGAAAAATACCAAGCTTTTGATGACTCGCCTATAAGTCGGACATAGAGTTTTGGACCAAAAGTTAACTCCCAAAAAACCGACTTATAGGCGAGTATATACGGTATGTGAAATATGAAAGCCATAGCACCAACCGTTCAAAAGTTATGGCCAAGGTTTTTCAAAAGTAGGTCAAACTCCTAGGTCAAGGTCAAAGAATCAAAGTTGTTGGTATCCAAAGGAAGGTCTTGTCACAAGGATTACATATGTGATGTATGAAAGCCCTAGCACCAATTATTCAAAAGTTATGGCCAAGGTTAAAGTTCAGTAAAATTTTGCAAAACTTGGTCAAACTTCAAGGTTAAAAGGTCAAATATGATGGTATCCAAAGAAAGGTCCTGTCACAAGGAATACACTTGAAATATGAAAGCCATAGCTCCAACCAATCAAAAGTTATGGACAATGTTAAAGTTTTTGCGGACAAACAGACAGACAATCGGACAGAGCAGATCTTTGATATGGGGGCATAAAAATTTTGTCCTAAAGTCAGTTATTTAGTATAAAGATGGTCTGATTAAAAGTAATAGGCAAGGGTAGGTTTTACTTAAGGATTTAAGGATCTAACACAAAACAGAAAAAAAGAAAAAAAACATTCCTTATATTTTACATATTGCATGTTTAAAAGCTGCAGAAATACACTTAAAGTTTGAATTTTTCAGTGCCCTATATATCATATTTTCATCAACATTTCCATAGCCTCATTATGGTGTCACTTTAGTGAGAGTATCTCCGAGTATATTTCTACACTTGAATATACATGAAAATGACATTCAAATCAATGGTTGGTTTATTAAAAACCCAGCAAATGTATATATTTGAACATAAGTAAATCATAAACCTGATCAAAGTATTGGTAATGAATAAAAATTGCCAGTGTGCTTATCTTCTGATGACAATATAATGTTGCAAAAACTAAATATTCCCCTTGATTAATTTTCTGAACTCTGCATGACCCTTGTGTCTCTATCCGACACCGTGCTGAGAAATAATCAGTCATTATTGATGTTTACACTGCCCTGTCTGTATTGTATTGATTAATGGAGGCCTCTTGTAGTCTTCCAGAAAGTGGTCCCCATTGCTGGGAACCGCCAGAATGAGTCAGCTGCATAATCTAAGTTACTCCATAGAAGGGGAGGAAGGGGCGACTTGTTTTAGTCAATTACTATATTTCTCCTTTGATATGTGCTATTAAGTAAAACACAGGATACCTTTATGGATACCCCATTTTTTCATAGGGTCGATACCCTGATTTTTATCAGGTTGTGATGGTAGTGATTTTGAGTTATGGTGCATTTTTATTTTAATTCCTATTCTGTCCTGTTCATTAAATCAACCAGTCATCCTCTTTGTTTGAAAATATTAAGCCATACAGTCTCCTTTGTTTTAAAAAAGTAAGTACATCACCTTCCTTCATTTAAAAAAACATTCTCATGAGAGGGTAATTTAATGTGAAAAATGAAGACAGTGATGCTTGTATATATGCCATAGGCTTTCTTCCTTTAGACATGTGACCTCACTTCCATATTTATTACAAGCTAGAATTGTTCTTTGTCATTTCCACTGATGTTTAGTTATAATGCCTAATCAAGACAGGCAAGATGATGGCTTGAAAGTGTTTTAAGTACAATGTATACATTTTATATACTTAAAGAGTCTGTATGCAAGGAGATTTTTTTTTTTACAATGCAGCTACTCATTTTTAACACAAAGTACTAAGGTAATGCAAGATGTGAAATTGAAATTCAATATATGTGTGCTAAACATACAAGGAAACAACTCACCTTTAAGGAAAGTGTCTTCATATTTTGTTTCCCTGTTCAGGGGAAAAACTTTGTTAATTTTGTTTTAAGAAGTACACAATTACCTTTAGAGAAAGAAATATCTTTAAAACATGGCGGAAATATTTCTTTGTACTGTTAATGAAGGTGTATATTTGTGTTAGTAGTCATAATTATATCAAATGGTAAATACTATCTTTCTCAAATCTATGCATACATAGATCAGGCCTAAGAAAAAAATATGCTTGTGTACATTAACCCAACCAACTCTGATTTAATGCACCTACCCAAATATTTTTTATTTTTAATCAGAAATTTGGAGGCATATAGTTTTTAGTCTGTCCGTCTTTTTATCTGTAATTTAAACCTTGCCTATAACTTTTGAAAAGTTGTTGCTATATAGGGTTTTCATATTTCACATGCGTATTGTTTAGGCCTTGTAACCTTGAGGTTTGAGTTTGACCTAATATTGATAAAATTTAATCTTGGATGTAACTTCTAATTAATTAGTGCTAGGGCTTTTACATTTCATATTTGAATTTCTTGTGACAAGACCTTTTTAGAGTACCAATATTTTTTACTTTTCGACCTTGACTGTGGAGTTTCTCTTAATTTTGAAAAACATTAACTTTAGCCATAACTTCTAGACAGTTGGTGCTACGCCTTTCATATTTCATATGTGTATTTCTTGTAACAAGTCCTTTTTGGGTTGCAACATTTTTGACTTCATGACCTTAACCTTGGAAATTGACCTACTTTCATAAAACTTAAAAAACTTTAATCTTTGTCTTAACTTCTGAATGGTTGGTGCTAGGGCTTTCATATTTCACATGTATATTCGTTGTGTCAAAACCTTTCTTGGGTACCTAATGACGTTTTTTTTTGAAGTTTACATACTTTTGAAAAACTTAAACTTTTGCCATGATCTGTCATATGGCACAGATACACCTTTTTTTCATTCTGAAATCTGGAAATTGTGTTTTTCTAGGTGTTCCATCAAGTTTAGTGGTTTATAGGTTGTATAAGGTCAATTCCAGTAGCCCTTTATAAAATTGTCGGGTAGATGGTTAAAAAAGATTTTAGGACTAGAAAAAGAGAGCGGTCTTTAGAAAATTGTATGTCAGTGTTGTTCCTGTATGTACAAAAAAAAAAGTAAAAAAAAATTTTTTAAAAATCAATCCAAGCTAGCAACCCTATTTATTTATTAAATAAAAAATCAAAATGCAATCAGGGTTTAGAAAAATGAATGTACATGTATCCAATGATTGTATATGTCATACAAAAAAACATTTTTTTAAAATGAACTTTCAAACATATATATTATAGAGCAACAATTTAGACCTCCTTAACAAGTCTTTGACCAGACGTAAATCTTTCATGGACTATGCAAAACAACTCCTTCAGCGAGAACCAAACCACAAACAGGAAATTGATGAGAGAGTCAATTCCCTCAACAAAATGTGGAGCACTTTGGAACAAGATGTTAGTGGCAAGGCCATGTGGCAGAACACAAGGACCATGATCAGAGGTATGTCTATGTTTAGGAAAGAGGGATAACTCCATTAGTGTTGTAAATCTGGTCGTGATAGATAACTCGTGATGATGTTAACTTACCTTTAAGAGTTGTCCTTCCTGCCTTTCAGATCTTGAGACAGATCTGAAGACTTTACAAGCTTGGCTTACAGACACAGAGCAGAAGCTGTTTTCGATGTCAACTCAGTACCAGCAGTCTGATGCTGAGTTAAAGAAGAGCCTGGAGGAACATAAGGTAAATTTAAGAAGCAGGTAAAACACACCTGCAAATTGTAATGAATAGAAAGTATCAAGTAGTTAATCATGTGTTTAAAAAAACCAAAACATTAAAATACATGTAATTTATAAGAAAAAAAAAGCATTCGTGGAATTAATCTCAGAAGACCCCTGTTCATACTTATTGTGTCAGTACAAACATCATATTTATACCAAAGAACATGGAGGAAAAAGGCAGGAAAAATGTCTCTGGTTGGACAGACATAGAAAAGGAAAATAATTCAACTTTTTTGATAGAAAATTCTTATATGAATCAGTAAATTTTTGTCAAATGTATACAGTATAATCTCATAATTATTTTGTATTCATGTGAAATAACATGTACACCTTAAGGTAGGGAAAACTAGCATATTCCAAATGTTTTGTTAGTAATTTGTATTCTACGAGTGGGTTCCCTCTAAATTCTTCTGAAAGTCAAGAGTGGTGTGAGGACCTACTATACCTTAACGGGAAAAGATTCAAATGCTAAGGATTGATATGTGTTGAATGAATCAGAAACTTGGTTAATTTAAAGTGTTGTTTCATGTTTTAATATAAATTTTATCACTGCATAAACTGCTGCATGTATTTGCATTTTGCTTTTTTTTTTTTTTTAAAGGAAAGTATATTTTTGAAGATTGATTTTCTGAAGAAAACTATTGCCTTAAAATTTTTATGCTCCTAAATTGAAAATTGTTCCATCAATTGTCTGGAAAAAAAGGGATTGATATACTGACTTGGAATCTTGAATCTAAGGGATTGCTAAATAAAACTCATATGAATGCATGAATAAATAATTATGTTTATTTAAATTTACTCAACTTGACAGAAAAGGCTGATGGTGTTCTGTAATTGATGGAAAAGGCCATGTGATGTTCCGATAGTTGTTTGTAAATAAATTGGGATCTGGACACTGACTTTAGTTTGTGAATATAGGGAGTTGTTGAAATAAACTTGTATGAATAAATAATTATTTTTATAAAATTCATTTGTTCAATTTAACTTGAATAAATAATTCAAGTTATTTCTATATTGATTGTAACTTATTATTTTTATCGTAGTCTTACTATCCATGGATACTTTTTTCTTTGCTTGAACAATAACGTGGATAATGCTAGTGTGATATTTAAAAAAAAAACCACCCTTTAGTTTCATATCTTTAATGATGCTATAGCAGCTGGGACACATATGTTCTTTTAAACACTTTAGTCTACTTTAAGGTCAGACGACGCGTTCCTGCTTTTATCTGCTTTTGTGTCTCTTTGTAATTTACCATAATATATATATAATTATTGTTATCTTGCTATTTCTAAACTGTTTTTAAAATATCTTATAAAAATAAAGACTAAATAATTGTGATAAAAGCGATTGATGTCATTTCGAAAAGGATTATATAAGAAACACCATCCTCCGTTACCTTCCACAAATCCCTGGTAAGGTACCTCAATTTTTTGCGAGGAAGCTTGTTAAAGCAGAAATACTCCAATGGCAAATTTTTGGGAAAAATTATATATTATTGAGGAACGTGTCTTCTGACCTTAACATCTTTTAAGTAATTTCAACTAAATTTCCAAAAAATGTTTTTGTGCATAGAATGGATTCAATCTTTTTTCAAATAAAGGGCAATTCAACATACAGTGGAGATACTTGAGAAAGAATAAGGTTAGGATAAAAAATCTTCTCTAGAACTTTGAACCAGAAATGTTAAAATCTGAAAGGAAGTTTCCTTGTATAGTGAAGATACAAGTTTACAAAAAGATTCTGAAATCAAAACATGGTCCCTTCACTGGTATAGTACCACAGAGAGGGGTCTAAAGTTGTGTCGGTAAAATATTTTAAAATCCTATCAGTGAACTGCGAGACTTATTGTCCAGTTGAAATGAAAACATCCTGATCACTTGATAATTGGATAGTACATTATCATTTAAAGGCTTTAAAAGAATTCAAAAATTCAAGAAAACAAGTAAATAGTGTATATTCCATTGTTAAATTAAAATCTGATTCAAAGGATATTCACTTCACAGAATTTGACTATAAATATTTTCATAATAAAAGTTAAAATTTGAAGTTTTAAAAAAGGTAACATATAGTGAAGCAAACCCTCAAGAAAATTGTGAGAATATGCTTTAAAATAATGGAGAGAATGATTATTACAGGCATTCACTTGCTGTTCAATCTGTTTCATGTAGCAATTAACGAACGAAATGTTTTTAAAACAATGTAAGAATATTTTTTTTCAAATCAGCATCCATTCATATACAGAAATAAAAGTATGAAAATGAGATAGCAAAGACTGCTTACAAAAAAAAAAACCCCGAACTAAAGGGTACCTGTAATGCCTATCATTTAGTTGCTAGGGGCATATGCAAAATCTGACTATTTTAAATCGCATCGATCACAAGGATTGTATTGATCTAGAGTTAAATGCATTTAAGCAAACAGTTGGCTTCATAGCATGCAGGTTATACATGTTGAAGGGTTGTTGCTTTATCTTCGATCATAAAAGGTAGGCTTGATATTTTGCTGTGTAGAGGTATGAATATGTTCAAAATAAGATCCTCTTTCTTCATGTTCTTCCTTTCAGATATTTTTGTGGTTTTTTTTTTCTTTTCATTGCTAAGTCCCCCATCACAAAAATAAATCAATCATGCCTTTTTGCTAATGGTATTTATTTAAAACTCATTAGATTGACCTTCGGCACCTGTATCATTAATCTGTGTATGTATTGGAACCTTTTTCATTTGTATGTGAGTCATGAGTAAAATAAGGTGGAAGTCTATTGTTCAAGCTTTTTTATGTATGGTGGTTCAGGTGTTGTAATTCAATTTGAATACAGTTCAATAAATTTTCCTCTCATGGGATGGAGATGGATTTAGGTACTTGGTAAGTGGGATATTCACTTAAAAACAATTATCTTAAGTGGCATTTTTTCCCCTTTTTATATCAGATTATTTGTGATAAAAGAGGTTATGTTGTTGATGTGTTTGTGTAAATTTTGTTTGAATCAAGTGTGTCATTTTGTCAAGATTGATTTCCATGGAAATTTTTTTTTCTGCATTTTCATGGTTGAACAATCTCTTGTGAAAGTGATGTACAAGATGCCCCACTTCGTGTCTCCTATTGGGTTGTTTATGAGCAGTAAACAAATTTCATCCACGGTACTTATATATGTTTATATGTTTACCGACAGCAATATTTTATTTATATCAATTAATGTATATATATGTATATATATATTAGATGATGTATTTAGGATGTCAAAAATACATCATTCTACCAACGTGTATACAGGTGTATCATTAATCTGTACTGTACAGATTATAGCTATACTTGTACCAGATATAAACAAATGAACATCTCCTTTCATTACAACAATTTCATCTGAAAAACACCAATTTTAATTGCTAGAAAGAAAATAAACTGCATCTTAATCAGAATGATCAACATTGTGTAGGTGGTTTGAAACCTTTTTTGTGTTTCTCATTAAGAGCAAATGACAGGTAACTTAGAGAGCTGTTTACAGGTGAAAGATTTCTGCTTACTGTTACAGTCATTTAACACGATAAACTTTTGACAGAATGATATTTTTTTAACGAACCCTAAATGCAGTGACGAGACAGGAAATAAGATGACTCTTGCACAAATTACACGTCTTTCTTTGTACAGTTCGTGTTCATTCTTTGTTCCGAGTTGCAAAGATTCCAGTGTATGTTCATTATTTTATGTATATATGGAAACAGCTGAAATTTATTGATTGATTAAAGTGGCCCAGATCTATAACTCTACTGTGCAGCTCATCACTGTGGACCTAGAGGACCAAAGATTACAAACAGTTGTGGGGCAAGATCACATTCAAATACAGGACTAGCTTTTAGTTATATTGTGATTAATTACATCTGTGATTCAAATTACAATGTGATTTTGTTTGGATCATTAGGGAAATTTCTTTGTGTATTTGTGGTGATTAAAAGTCATACTTAATATTGGTAGTTTATGTGATAAAAGTCAGCATGGACATGTCAAGAAATGATTATGGATATTTAAGAAATTATCCACTAAGTGGCTTGTTTTTTGAAGGCTAAAAGTCGGAGACATTAAGGTATAAAAGGTAAGTGTCCTCTGCTATTTTGAATAATTGTCACATATTTAGACTAAGGTTTGTAAAGTGTAAAAGAAAGAACTGAGCAGTGTCTGTCAAAACTAAGACTAACAAAGTATGCCTGTAGGCAATTGAAGTTCGGAAAAGGACAGAGGAGTTCCTCAGATTTCCTTGAAGGTTTCATCATCTGAGAGATGTATTAGGACTGGTAGGATGTAAATCAATACAGGTTTATATTTGGATTGTTTTACTGATATGGGAAGGCCAATGTTGCATGTCCCCTGATATGTACAATTGCCTGATGCCTTTGATGTGCACTTTTTCTCGTTATATTGACCCTTTGATGTTGCTCATTTTCATTGATGCGGATAGGTTTTGATGTCACAGGATTGTGTTGAAATGCAAGGGAAAGACAAAAAACTCAATGATTCTGCTTTAAAAAGTGTTAGTTAACGCGTATATGGGTGGCAACAGGGTGACTTAGAAGTATTGATTTGATTTAGTCTGTTGTCTTTTAAGACAAAGGTTCCTATATAGCCTCAGTACTTGATCACAGAATCATCAATTCAATGACCTAGTTAGAGGTATTGCAAGGATATGAACTGCCACACATTTTCTTCTTTTAAAAAGTTTTGTAGGCATGTATGGTTATGATAATTTACTAAATAATCTTTGTTTCTTAACTCAGATTTGATTATTTTCTATGTTCACACATGAAGAATGGGCTGCCAAGAGCCAACTTTATTCAAATAAGGATGATCTTTCCTTGTTCTTTGATAAAACAGGAAAAATGGCTGTTTGTTAACCTATTACATGTATGACCAAAAAACTAGATTGACAGTTAATTCCCAAACTTATGCAAATGAGCATTGATATTGGAGAAATAACAAGACCTTTGCTACAGGGCAAACATGTCTGGTTAACAGATTTTTTTGTATGCTAATCACCAAAAGTGATCATCTATTAAAAAAAAATGTATTTAATATAAAATGGCAGAATTATGTACAGGTTTGGCATAGTTAGGTGTAGCATAACTGTTAAGGCCAACGAAAAATGCAATTATCAACAATGAAGGTCAGTCCAAAAATAACAGTATTAGATGACATCAGAGAACTGTTAAATTGTACAATATACATGTACTACATTATCACAAATGGACAGTTGTCAAAATGAAGACTTGGCATACAAAAGGACAAATTGATTTCAATGAGAAGATACACAGATTAAGGACAGAGAGTTAACGTTACAACATAAGTAATGACAAGTTACAAACATTCTAACTCTGTGGCCTTGGGGCACTGAGACCAGGTTAAGGTAATGATTATTACCTTGTGTGAGTTTACACACCATTAGTTCATTTTATGTAGATAAACCCCTCAAGTCTTCACTTTATGATGGAGGTACCATAATCAGCTCCAATGTCAAAGTAGATAAACAACTGACAGTAAATAGGTCCGCTCAAGTCACTTGTTGGTCTGTCGATCAAAGAGTGATGGGGGATAAAATAACAATTGACCAGCTGCTTTTATCTTTCTATTTATTTGGTCATGGTTTATGGTCTCTAATAGTAAGAAAATCATTGCAATACACACAACTATTACTTCATCAAAAGAAATCCTGATTCCATCTAAAATTTGAACCACCTAATGACTAAAATCCTAGCCTATTTGGGGGAGAACATGCATGTCGGCAATCAGATAAAGCGAGAGAGGGAAAAAAAAAAGCATAAGTACACAACTTGTTATCTAATCAGGATACAAATCTCGTAGCTCAGGTGTGCGTTATTGGTCCACCTGACAGGTACAAATATTGATGTGTAAGCATAGCCCTGTCACAAGCTGACCAAGCCCCTGTATGGACAGTCAGTCTAATGCCAAGGGCCCCGGCTAGCTGACCACTTATTATGTATTCGTTCTGTCTTATGTGTGAAAGGTGACATGTTTCACAATAGAAGATTATAAACTTATTTATCCAGTGTGCAGCTTTATTCTTATTCGGTGGATTTTATCGTATTGATTTTTTTTTTTGAGTTCTTTCTTGTTGGGAAAAGGTATTCCACGTGGAGCACTGAGTTTATTATAGTAACAGCTGTGTGTATCTGTGCTCTGCAGATTCAGTTTTGCCGTCAGGATTTTTTTTTTAATTAAACCAGAAAACCCAGGTAAATACTTATGTGTAAGTTTATAGGTTACCATGTCGCTTGTATACAAATTTTTGAAAGAAAATCTGAAATTTTATATCTTGAACAACAAAGGAATACAAAAAGGAAAACCTGGGAGGGGGTTTTCAAGTGTAAAATAGAGTTTCATTTTGTATTTAATCTTTATGTTTTTCTTGGGTCTGTTGTATTTTTGAAGTCGGTGTGAGCTTGTTTTGTTTGCATGAAGCAGTGTCTACCACCCACTGTACTTCGCTTCAGTGAAGCTCATGATGAGGTTTACTGATCATGTTAATTAATTAATGTCTGCATTCATTTAATTTTTGTTATTTTGGACATTTGATAGATTAAAGGTTATTTTTCTGTGTTTGCATGGATTAATAACACTACCAGTCCACATGTTAAGGCAGTGTGTATATGGTTTTATTTTCGATTTTAAAAAGATAAGCTGGTCACATAACAAAAGAGTTATGGAGAGTTTACGTTTCTTTGCATTTTTAAACCTTTTAAATGTAACCAATTGTGCAAAATATTGATTTGTAAGGTAGAAATATTTGGAGGAAAAGCAAACACAAGACCGGGTGGAGTCATTTTGTTTTTTTTTTTATTAACTCTAGTAGCCTACATCTGACATTGCAGATTGCATTAATGAACAAAAATAAAGTGATTTTAATCCCAAGAAGGTAATAACTTTTTTCAAATCTTAAATTACAGAGTAGATATGTAAATTGTTTTCAGTTTACCTATTACTTTGAATGCTGTAGAATCATTTCGTGTCTCTCTTTTTCATGAATTACTCGAAAAAAAAAATTGTGGTGAAGGACCTTCATAGCTGAATATCTCATTTTAGAAGACATTGCCTATATTTCAGTATAAGTTGTGGCTGTGAATTCATGGGTTAGGAGTACCTGTAAAAATTGCCCCCCCCCCCCCTTTACAAAATATAAAATGATTCTGCAGTACATTACAGACTTTTTCGTGATACTAATTGGATTATTTACTTTTCTTATGGTGAATTAGAATCTTTGACATAAGACTCTCTTTTCGAAGAAATTTAGCAGCATGAGTTCTTTCCATGGGTAAATTTATAAATGTATTTTTAGGTAAACAAAACATTTGTACTCAGGTTCCAATTTGAAAAGTCTAGAAATATGTTTTTGACAGACCTGGTCCACATTTGGTGTTTGGAGTCTGTAATTTCATGCATCTGTTTAAACACACTTGTCAATATTATTTGATTGAATAGTTTGGTCCATATTTATTCTTTTCACAATTGCCTTGCTATTTGGTTTTTTTGGAAAGTACAATTTCCAAAAGTTTTTTTAAAAAAAGTTTTTGAAAAAATAAAATGTTGGACAATCTTTTTTGCTTGCTAAATTAGTTTTTAAATGCTTTTTTCATGAAGATATATCGACTATATCAGAAATGGCTCCAATATGTATAGGGAGGATACAATATTACCCAGCAATCGTCTAATGCCTTTGATTGTGAATGACTTTAAACACAATTTGACAAGCCTCTAGGAATTTATTGAATAATACTAGATGGTGTTGCTGTTTGATATTGGCAGTATTTAATAGGAAGAAATGAATGTGCCAACATAATAGTGGTTTTTGGTGAAGGTTTGTAAATAAGGCAGGTATTGACACAATGATTATAAGCTAATGATGAGAATTAATCGGCTTCAATCTCTGCCAGTGTCACTGGGATCCACAATAGAAATAAGTCCTAATACAGCATCATACCTCCGTAATAGCAAGGTGTTGGAGAGGTTAACGGAAAAAATTACATCATTATTACATGTAAAGTAATTCAGTTATACAACGTTATAAATAGGTTTTCTGTACTCTTCATTCAATAGCAGGTGGGGGATTTATTTTGACTGATGGTCAAGAAGGAGTTGTGCAAGGCACTTTAAGCTTGTTTGTGACAGGAATTTAATGAAGCATGTGTGTATTTTGACCAGTTCATTAAAAGACCAGAAAATGAACCTTTGTGATAAACTGTGTCCGATTTCTTATCAGGTGTTTATTGATTTTTGTCTAATAAACACGTGTCATCAAAGCTGGCGAGTTGATGGAGCTTTTACATTGATTGTTGTTATGGAGTGAAATACGGGATTCTGCACGTGTGATGTTTCACCTGCATCTTTGTCTTCTATTGCGTGAATATTCACATCATCAAAGGGACTACAGATTAATTTTTTAGCCTAGGTGTCATTTGTGCTCTATCACTAATTTTCTTCTTTTTATGTCTCAGTCAGATCAATATTAGAATGTTTTTAGAGGGAAAAAAACAAGTGTTGCTAGTATTTATCATTCCCCTGTTAAAATATTGATAAGTTAACCTTGATTACTGGGATTATTAAGTGACAGATGGATAAATTGAGAGGGTTTGTACATTTGGAGCTGGTAGCTCAGTTTGTAGGATGTTTTAATCTGATAAAATTGATTTTTAATTATGATTACATTGTACATGTTTTACTGTTTATCATTTTTGCACATGAGGTTGAATTGTAGCTTGTGCTTTTTTTTAACTTCTTCTGAATCAGTTCTGACCAGCTGACAAAGATGAATTGAAGAAAAAGGAGATAAAACCCAGATAAACCAGAACTATTATTTAAGTGAAATATTTATGTTTATTGATTATACTTTTCCTTTGATTGTAGACCTTGCAAAAGGATATAGAATCTAAGAATCGTAACATCAGTGCTGTTCTTCGCTTGAGTGAACTTCTTCAAAATGACCTTGAGGACCAAATCAAGAATGACGTTTTCCCCCTGCAGGAGCTGGCTTTTACTCTGCAGCAGAGATGGCATGAGATTTGGCTTGCGTCTATAGAAGTTCAGTGCAGGCTGGAAAATGCCCTGAAAGGAGGCAAAAAGGTGGGTAGTAAGAGTAATTATTAAAGCATCTTTAAACATACATCCAAGCACGAGTAAAGCACTTGTTTTAGTGTATATAATGTACTGTATGTGTCCTTAAAAAAGTGGGCTTTATATTTTAGCGGCTTTGGCGCAGACAACGATGCGCTAATTCATGAATATCGCTAAGAAATCATTTATAAATAAAATGTATGGCAGGTACATGTATAGCGCTAATTCATGATTTCGCCAACAACTCCATACCCAGTGATTGTGCTAAATTTTGAATACACCAATTTATGTACACATACAGTATATTCAAATGACCAATTAAAGGGAGTTTGGTAAAAATGGACAGTATGTCATGAATTACCCTGAAAATCCTGCATCATTATATGGCTGAAAAATTTTAGGGTGCACTTAGCATGCTGAAGATCGGTACATAGCTCTATGTAGAGCTACAATCTTGAACAGTATGCTATTCTAGAGACAGTTTATGGATAATTTATACAGTGTGTTATCTAGTCTTAGCAGCTAGGCTAGCTGCTAAGATCTTGGAACACTTCTTAGTTGTGTACACTTGCTATTTTTCTCATACTATTAAAAAAATTGATGTTGATTAAGTCGTTGTTTTGGCTTTAGCTTCAATTAAAATTAATTCATGAATACTTTTGAAACTGTGTCACACTGTATTACACTCTAGACTTGCTCTAGTGAATGTCCATCACATATAAGCTGAAAAAATGAGAAAGGTTTCTGTACATGCGGAAGATGAGTTAGGCCATTAATGTAAATGAATGTTTATCTGGCTCCAAGGAGAAATCAATGGCTTTGTGACTGTTTTAATAGCGGTGTTAGTAATAACTGTGACAAGGTAATGGATTAGGATAGGAGTTTAATGGTAAAATAGGTAAAGTAAAGGAAATTCAGATGAGAATCAATGAAGGCCAAAGGAGTTAGGTTCATTGCTTCAAAGTTATCCTTCATTTAGTGGGATTTGTGCATATTGTGAATCTTCCATGCATACCTGCCCAGGTCTGAAAATACGGTCATTCTTATAAAGCTAGCATAGGAAAAAACTGTTCATCATGGCTCAACGATATGTTATAGATCATTCCTTGAGGTAGTCCTATCATGGTACAAAGAATGAAAAGAAATTCTGAAAGGGTATTCTTCACTATGAAAATGAAAATAAATTTAATGAACAGGCTAAGCTATTTTTTAAACTGTTGAAAGAAAAACTATTAACTTTGATTTTTGTTCTATAAACACACTAAAAGATAACACATTTGCTTTTGCTTCATGTATTTCAGAGGGAGCACAAATCATTACATAATATCAGGTTCAGGACTGACATTAGAAAATCAATATTTCTCAACAAATTAAAGTAAAATTAGATAATACAAATCGATCTTAATCGACATTAACATCCGTCAGACAGACCCACAGGCAAAAGACAGGGAAAAAAAGTCCTGTTATGTAATTCTTTGCAGGTAGTCATGCATAGTTTCCATGACAACACAATCAGTTTGATTATCTGGTGCATGCTAGACTTTGTTGGCAGGTTATCTGAAGAGCAAACCAAACAATGAATACCTTTTTTTCCAGTTATATTTAATCATTTTTTAGGACTTTGCCTTGTAATTGATATTAGATATATGCATTATGTAATTTTTACATGATAGATTTATGAATTCCCTTTTTCTGCAGAATGTCACGTAATACTGGGCACATCAAGTACATTGTAGTTGGACTGAATGGAGACATTTGTATGTCCCACAATGATTTCTGTAAAATGACTGAATTTGACAGTTCAAAATATAAAAAGTAAAATAAAATACTCATTACAAGCACAGGTGAAAAACTTTAAATCTTTAGATTATGAAAAAAAAGGAAGACAATTTTTCTTGTGTGTATGTGAACATAACATTGAAAGACAATTTAATAATTGTACAAGTGAACTAAAAAAATACAAGATTTATAAAGGCCTGTAGTTTGATACAAAAAGATGTTCTTCCCTTTTCCGTGCTGCTAGCACATATATTTAGTGAAGATTTCTTAGTCAGATCAGAGACAATTTGCAACCATTAACAGGTTTATTTACTGAAATATGCATGTGACGGTCCTATCATTGCACTAAAAATTGGTTGAGTAGTTCAATCTTAAATTAATAATAATTTTATTATATATGGGTGTATGATTTGTAAAGTTTAAAAATAGACATATATGATTAATAAAAGCAAACTAGGCAAATTAAAGAGGTGAATGATTGAAAGTTGGAAAAATCTCTTCAACACTAATATGGCTGAACACTGATCACCTGTTGCTATTTCAGACCCCCCCCCCCCCCCTTTTTAATATTCTGAATTCTGAATAATTGTTGATATGAATAAAAAGGTTCTACTTCATCATCCTTGATGATTTTAAAATTTCATGTGATTTAAACAGTGCTAAGGTTTGAAAAAAAGTAGGACCCATGAGAAATTGCGAGATTTTGAACAGTTGCGAATCTCTTGTTATTTATGTCTCTCTGGTCAGATACAGGGCATTGGATCATATTTACTCAATCAGTAAATATGTATGAGGACCTTATAATTAAAGTTACCAGGTGTTTAAACTGGTGGTGTGTTAATGCAAGTCAGCAGAAGAAAATGTTGACACTGGTTATTTAAGAAGAACAAACACAGTGGCAATTGCTACTTCTTATTTCTTTATAGAACTTGTGGCAATAATTGTCACCCAAACAAGAAAACATTGAAGTTTTCATTCAGTTGTAATTTACTGAACCTATTTCTAAAGTGGTTTGGGGTTTGTGCTTAATTCAAATTTAATGGATTAAAATCTTTGAGGCAGAACCTCACACAAACAAATAATGTTAAAATAGTTTTTTTTCTTAATTTTCAGAATGAATTTTCACCAAATACCTATTTAAGTGGCTTGATTCCTTCCCACTTTGCGCTAGAGAATGACCCAGAACAGGTGAACTTGGGTTCAGACGACAGTTTCCAGAACCTATTGCCTCGGCAGGCAGACTTGGTGGAATCTCCACCATATGATTGCTCTCTGTCCAGTGACAACAGTGGAAAGGACAGTGCAGTGGTCAGTGAAGTGGAGATTAAGATGTCCTCGGAGTGCAGCGACTCTGACCTTGACATGTTAAGGAGGTCACATCAGAAGTCGGAAACCAGGGACATTGGATACAGCAGTGGGACTTCGATATCTCCATTCGCAACTGGTCACACTAGCACAGAATCAGACTGCGATGATATCAAGAAGCTCATTGACAATGTGGAGAATCTAGTAGGAGAGAAACAGAAATCTCCACCTAGGCAGAGGAAGTCTGAGAGCCCTAAGAAAAAGAAGGGCCCAATCAGTTCCTGTGATGCCAGCAGTGAGGACAGTGATGCCTCACTTGAGGATTTCTCAACAGCCTCAGATGATGCAGAGGGGCTGTATGATAGTGTTATGGGAGGGTTAGAGTACAATTCTGATGTATCTCTTCCCAATAACCTCCCAAGCTTATATAACACTGCCAAACTAAGGCAGAATGGAAAGAAAAAGAAGGATCGACCTTGGAGTGCGATCCAGATCAAGGAGTCTGATGATGACTCTATGACCTTTTCAAGGTCAGACACAGCCGTGGAACAGCTCAGGGATGCTTTGGAGACCCCAACAGGAAAAGGTGAGATTGGGAGAAGTACCCTGCCACGAGCTGGAGCTAAGAGAAAGCTATATGAGGCTGATGCTGTTTATACCTCAGATCCAGGAAGCTCAGGTGAGTACATAGAACATCTGCATGATGAGGAACTTTGTGTATTTCACTGATAATTACACTATTATTTGAATAGTAATTTGTAAAAAGATTTTAGATTCAGCCTTTGTCTATTTAAATAGGATCTGAAGATTATGCTACTGCCCACAGTGAATTCATTATGTCAGATGAAGATGAAAATATAGCCAGCACAGCTTCATTCTCTGAACCTATTTGGGATAATTACCATCAGGTAAGCATTGTAAATGGAAAAAATATGATAATTCTTATACCAGTAATAGCACAATGCAGGATACTGAGGTGTTATAGAAATTGCTTCTGGTCATTTCTTTAGGTGTATACGTCATTAGGGGAGGAAGAAGAGCAGCCCCTGAGATGGAATACCCTGGAGGAGGATTTTGAATTTGATGATGAGTTTTCTCAGTACTCTGCTATGCAGTCTGCTGCCTCTGAAAAGAGGAAAACACCCAGACCCAAAATGGTAGGTAGTTTAAAAAGTTTGTGAAGGATCTTTTATGCCCATTAGATTTCATTGTTATTACAGTCAAATCTAAATATCTAGAAACATTGAAGCACTATCAGAAAACACTGAGATATCCAGGGGTTAAAAAAATTGAGGTTCTTAATAAAGTTGGGACTGTCAATTTCAATTTATCCCTTCTGTCTGACATAGGAGTAGTTCAGCTGTATTTGAATAAAAAGATGGACAAAGGTTAATAGATGTTTGGAATACTTCACCTTTGTAGGTTAGCCAGGGCAGTCGACCAGGGTATGACAGTGATTCAGACCTGGAGGACCTGAACTGCTTTATTGATGACTCTATTAGTCAACTGAAGATAGCAGATCATCACCTGAAGAAGAAAAGTAAAGACTTCATGGGTACAGGAGTGGAGATCAACACCAACAAATATGTAAGTCAGCAGTAAAAATCTGTGTAAGATAAATCAATTCTTATGAGCCTTAGATAGAAATGCCTCTAGAAATCCAATAAAAAGATTGGTGTGAGTCCTGGTGCCAGAAATTGGTTTTTAATAACCTCAGAAAGCAGACAGTCAATAGTAGCATGTGTTGATCACAGATAGAATGCTCAAGAGATTAGTATATGCAATTTATATTTCATATAATCTTAGGGGGGTATTCTGTTGGTAAGTCGTAGAAGGATAATAGGTTTAAAACTCGACCTGATGATGTGTTAATAGCATTCATTTGGTGTTCAATCTTGCCCTAATCTCTTACAGAATGAAATCATTGCCACTTGTCAGACCAACATCGCTTGTCTACAGAGTGTACTAAAACATCTCAACGATGAAGTCACCGATGAGGAGATAGAAAATATGAAAGGTAGGTTGTGTAAGATATAAAAGGCAATGTCGAAAAAAGCTTTATCGAACAATATGAAAGGTAGATTTGTGTGGAATATCATATCTCAAAAGGTGATGGCAAATTTTTAATTGCTTTTTTTATTGAACTCCTGGTAAAGTCAGAACTTTTAGTACATGAATTGATAAAAAGTGAAGTCGTTTTTGTGTAATGAATGTTTAATAAATGCAAGGTGAATCCCTTGGATAAATATTAGCATGTGAAGGGAAGGAATAACACCTGTTAATGGGTCTCTTTGCAGATGTATTGGCACAGTGGGAAAAGTTACATGCTTTTGCCAAAGAACGACAGTCTGAGTCCAGTGAGTTATCAGCAATGAACAAGTGTCTTAAGGATGTGGAGGCTGAGTTGTCCAGCTGTGGTGAGGGGACCAAGTCATTCAGCAGCCTTAGAGACCTAGAGCATTGTCTGATCAGCACAAAGGTAGAGTTTATAATCTTACTTCTTGGTTGACTCGTGAATGGTGCACCACTTTAGGGTTTTTTTCTGAAGGCTGTTACAGAAGAATTGGTTTATACTGAACACACATATAGCAGACACCTGCTTAAAACAAATAATGTATTTTCACCAGTATATATTCTACAGATTAAATAATTATTTACAATTAATTATATGTAGTGAATATTTGAATATTAGTAATGAATATTGATGCTAGTGCATCAATCTAACTCCATAGCAAGTGTGGAGGTTGACATGTTTGTAGGAGTTTTGAATCATTTTGCAGACAAAGCTGGAGAGCCTGCCCTGTATAGAAAACAAAATGGCAACATTACACAGAATGTGCAGTGGATTTCAATTGGAACATCCTGCCATCAACTTGCTGGCTTTCAGTCAACAGGTCAACAAGACCAGCAATAATCTCAGCAGAACCAAGGACTTGTAAGTAGCTTCACAGATTTGAAAATTGGATTACAATGTCATAAAACAAAATCTTTACAACAGCTAGGAAATTATTTTGAAAATAGACTCAGAATCTATTAAAGAATGCAGGGTTATTTAACTTTTTGGATGGAAGTGTAACTTGTAAATGTGTCACCATAATTAAAATATAATCTGTACCTGACATTTTATACTTTGGACATCAAATATTTATTAAAAGTAAAATTAATTAGGTACTTTATATGTAGAATTAGCTCTTATATATTCTGTGTGGTCATAATCATGAAGATGCATGTGAAAGTTTTGTTGGCCTTTTTTTTTTTAAGTTTGTACATTATTATTGTATTAAACATTACATAAAAGTAATCTTAGATACATATCTCTATATGTCTTATTAGGTCTTTGAACATGACAAATTAAAGACATTTCACCTTTTATTTCTGACAGACTGACAAAGCAGTTGTCCGAGCTCGAGTCTGAGTACCAGATTTGGAGTGATTATATTGAGGAGAGGAATGCCCTCGAGGAGCTCCTGTCCTCAGAATTTGATATGGACCTCATGATGGCAAACATGCAGAGGGAGGACTCTATACAATACCTTAATGTAGGTAACTTAAGTGTACCGTAGTCACCAAATTTTTGTGACTCCTTTTTTTCGCAAGAATGGTATTTGATATTTATAAATGTGACAAAATTTTCACGAATTCTGGTTATTGTTGTATATAATCTATAGTAATAAAGATATACATGAGAATTAATTTTTTTGCAAGCAGACCATCTCGCATTATTACACGAAAATAAAGTTTTCACAAATAAATAGTGATTTACAGTATACATCGTACTGAGAAGCCAGTTTCACATACACATAATCATTTTATAACAATTCTATCATTATGGAGCTCAAATTTCCAGAAAATATTTCAAACCTTTATATTATTCTAGCATATTATCAATTAAATTTACACACACCTCATGTATTCAATATCCTTGCATGTTTTTTATTACAGTCAGTGAATGAAAACCTTCAAAAATATGAGGAAAAGTGTTGCCATCTGCAATCACTGCGAGGACGTTTAATGCAGTTTGCAGATGAGCAGATGAAAGTGGACATAACGAATGAGACAGCAGATATACAGGATCGAATGTTAGAGGCCCACAGACAGTATAGGACCTTATTGTGGTCCGTTAATCAGGGATCAATAGACCTACCACAAAAGTAAGTCATATAGTGTTCTAGATACTCATTATTCTAATGTTATTTTAGATATTAATCTTCCTGATGCTTAATTCATTATCTCAGTATTGCATTTGTATTGCTTTATGCTTGTACATCTATGGACCAGCAAATGATTTGTTCAGACAGAGATCACATATCAATGAATCAGAATTTCTGGGTAGTATTTTTGATGTTATCAATCTCTTTTTTTTCTTCTGTAGGATGCAAAAACATCAAAGTGACCTTGCATCGAAATCAGCAGCTGAAGGTCAGACTATAACACCGTCCAGATCGTGGTACCGCTCAGGATATGTTAAGGCAGCGGGGGTATTTGTCATGTTTGGTATTGCCTATCTTGTGGACCCAGAGGCTATCAAACACCTAGGTGATCTCACAATTACACTTGCACCAGAACTACGATATGTAAATGGCCCACCACCCATTTAAATGTACTTTATAAATAGGTCAGGACAAGAAATATTTTTTTAATATGTATATATTTTAGATTAATTTTTTTTTGTAAGAAGTCTAAAATAGGAGAAAAACAATAACCAAAAAAAATAATAATAAATTTGTGTTAATAAATCATATTTTCCAATTTTTGTAAATGTGTAAAGGTAATTAAAAGTGTGTTGATATCATTTGTACAGTATATTAATTAGAAATACAAACATCATTCCCGTACTTCAGCACAATTCACAGATAATAACAAAATGGAAATAAAAGTACTGGTATACATATTTATATTTGATACAGTGGGTTAAAACAAAACGGTATGGCTACTAGTTCTTGATTCATTTAATTTAAGATAATTTTTAAAGGGATTTAATGATTTCCAGATTGATATTTCACAATCAGTTTTACACAGGCAGCTATTTACATGACACCGCCTCGGTGAAGGGAGGCAATCCTACATTGTACATTTAGATATATTGTCTCATCAGGTTGTTTTATATGTCTCCACTTCATTTGTACATAGCTTATTTATTTTGTTATTAAATTTATTTTTGCATGCATAGGTCATAAGGTCATATGTATACCTATTCAAGGTCAAATTTTGGACATTGTAGCTATGTTGGAGGATGTGTAAATAATTAGGACGGTTGCAGGACTGGCTATAACAAAAGGGACTTAAATTATGCATTCTTATGCAAAGATTTATGAAAGTAAACTTAGAAGTGGACCTAAAGGTATGATAAAAGTGATTTCACTGGTCTGTCCACTCAAAAAATCAGCCCACCAATGGCCTTTACTAAACTAGAGAATCTAGACAGAAAGTATGAAAAATCTTGGGCATATACAAATGTGGGTATTTATCTTACTTATTATACCGGTATATACCATACCATTATTGATGATGGGCATTATCGTTTAGTATTGTGATACCATCTTCAGAGATACTTTTCAAAAGGGACCCATTAAGGAGAGACTTACTCTTAAAAAGTAAACATTTTGTTAGAGAAAGTACTTGTCATAAAAGTTGTCACTTAAGTATTGGCATTATGGCATCCAACATTGATGTCAAAACAAGTACTTAATAAGAACAGAAGAGAAAGATCTAAAGAAGTGACTTAAGGATAGTATATTTAAGAAGAGGGATTGTTCTTTCAGAACAGTAACTGGAAAGTAGTTTATCAAGACCTCCAAAGAGTGAATTTACCAGGTAGAAATAATGCGGGGGTCATTGTACATGTAAATAGTTCCTCACAGACTTATCTCGGTGCAAGTGTAGTTGTTTCAGATTGACAAGGTTAACATAGCAGGTCCATAGTGGTGCTCAATTTAATGTTAATAACTTTTTTATCAAACATCATGGAATTCTCTATTTCAATCTGAAGCAATTACCAATGATAATTTTATTTATGTACATCACTAATCACTTATTTAAGTGCTTTGTAATATTTCTTTACCATACACAACAGTGTTGTGATTTTTCATTATCCATTCTTGTTGTGTGGTTATGTTAAAATGATTTTCATGCTGTGCAATTTTGTTAATTTGTTTTAATTTTGTTTTTGGAATTCTTATTTAGAATATAAAGTTTATGGACTTCATTGTTAAAATTATTTTAAAATGTTCTGTTTTACATTATGAGATTATATTTGATTATTTATTTAGTTTTTTCCCATCTGTTACAAATAACTTAATTACATGAAGGGAAAACAAAGATTGAATAAACCTATATTTTCATCTGACACCTGCCAAAAAAGTGCCATCAGCTGTCTTAACTGCCTAGACACATGATCTTTTTGGGTGTTGCTTTATTTGTCTCGAACCTCAATACGCTTTGTTGAAAAGTGCTATACCTGTGGTCATTTTTTTGTTTCTCCCTATTGAAGTTTCTTTAATGCTCACATACAAATTAAGAGGGTTTTTACTCAAGTTGAAATTTTACAGTATGCTATTAATGGTACTCTTTACTTCTACATCAGAAAATTGGTTTATCTTGCCTTTATTATATTGGATTTGGTGTATTACTTTTTACACATATTTTAATCCTGAATCATTAATATACCTCAGTCATGTAAAATGACCTATTTGCTAATGTGTTCTTTGTGTTAGACAGATGTCTAATGCTTTTTGAAGTTGAAGATTATAGTCTGATAGTCTCCATTTGTGAAAAAAAAAATGTAGACTACAACTGCATAAATACATGGTTTAAAAAGTAAAATTGCCACTTGTCAGAGCATTAAAGCTACTTTTGTATATATTATGTACTCTTCATATTAATACAATTATAACTTTGATTAAAGTATTCTAAGTTTTGATAGTGAATTTTTCAGAAAACAGCAAACTCATATATTTTTCTGTCTACTTTTGGATGTAATAAATCATTTTGTTTTCTAATCTGTATTCATTTGAGTGAAAATTATATACATTGTACATGTAAAAGTGGAAAAGTTAAAATCTTCTTTAAAAAAAAAAACAAGAAAAAGTATCTTAAATTAATTAAAAAAAGGTTGTGGCATTTCTTGATCATACCATATTAAATGGATAGAAATAAATTAATTATAAACCAATAATTGTTCTGATTGTTTTATTCTTTTGAGCTCACCTGAGCTGAAAGCTCAAGTAGGCTTTTGTGATCACCCATTGTTCCACATTCATCTATCTGTCCATCACTTAAGTTTTCACATTTCCTTGAATCAATGGGGCAGTTTTAACCCAAAGTTGGCAAATTAAAGCATCCTTGGATGAAGGGGATTCTAAATTGTTTAAATGAAGGACCATGGCCCTGCCTAAAGGGAGATAATCAAGATAAGACAAAAATAGGGTGGGATCATCAAAATCTCTTCCAAGATCCACAGGGCCAGAAAATGTGAAAAGAGAGAGCTTCCTAAGGTAATGGAGATTCTACATGTAAATTGTTGAAATCATAGCACCAGGAATAGGTAGGGACCACAATTAGAGGCATTAAAGTCTTGCATTGGAGTATTTTAGAAAAGATTTTAAAAAACCACAATAGACCATTAATTTTCAAACATTTCCAAGTTTTGTGGATTAATATTTTCCCCCTTCAAATGGACACTTGGTTAGAGTTGGCTAAAATTGGAATTAAATTTTACATTATGTATGCATTAGGGAAGAGAAATCTTCTTTATAACTGTTAATCATATTGATGCATCTCCATGTTGTGTAGGTTCAGACAGATTTCTCAGTAAAGTTTAGGCCATAACTTGGGGTTACAGTTTCTCATGGGAATATAAAGGAGAAAAATCTTCCAAAGAAGTTACTCAGGTGAGCTTTGTGGCCCACGGGCCTCTTGTTTTAGTTGTGTTTGACGAAATTGGATTCCATCTTGGTATCCATATTACAGATTTATTGTAAAGACACACCAGGAAATCCATACTTAATTCCATATATGCGATCAAAGCGATTTGAAAAGCAAGCTACAAGTTACAATGTAGGTCAAATAAGTTTTCGTTGGAGTTTCTCACAATTTGGAAATAGTGATTTTTAGCATGATCAGTATCAATGGAAAACTGACTATAGACGATAATGACCAACTAATAATTAAACTCTATGAGTTTTAAACTCTATGACAAGCGGGAAGACTTCTGCTTTTCTGTAACAATTTTCCAACATCATCTGCATATGGTGTATGTCTCCAAACTGATTGATACGCAAGCGCAAAAGAAAAAAGAAAGAAATTTTTGTTCCAAGGAAATTTTTGACATTACATTAATCAGAATATTAATGATAAACACCTGATTTGATATAAGAACTTTATAAGTAAAACTTTTGTTTCTGCTCTCAAAAACAAACAAAACAAAACAAAAAATGAAATGTATAAACGGCGAAATACTGGAATGTTAAGATAGACAAAATACTTAAACAAGAACAATCAAAATTTGTCATTGAATAAAAAAAATCCTACATAAATGTACAAAGGAGTATCATATAAATACACAACTGAAATATACTGAACACAATATAATAACGTTAACTATCATTTGTTCTTTCGTATATTGGACGGTACATTGGGCGATTGTAGACAATTTAACTCTGGTCCCCAGTATAGACACAATGTGTACTTCATCACTATTAACTCTGCTATTATGTTTCCCAAAAACCACAGTGGAGCATATTCCAATGTTATAATGCCCATGAAATCACCATGAAACGGTGTGTAGTCCCATGGGCAAGCACCAAATTGCTTAAGGACAAATCCCGTGGAAAACTCCCAAAGATAAGTCCAAATGGTATAGATAAGAATGCGAACAAGCAGTGGAACTCGACCTCTCAACCGAAAGTACATCTGTTCTAACACCAGGCCAGACAGGCCGTAAATCAAAAGCACCCAGACACTGGTATTTCCCGGGAACTTCCAGTTCAAATTGACCACGAATTCCCATAGGGCAGTAAACATAATCTCTGTGACGTAACCGTGGATGGCGTAAACGTAAAACCGCCACCAAATGGAGATCGGTCGCATCTCTGAATCCTCGGGCATCTCTGTAAGCAAAAAGTAAAAACTTACTGAACTTTACAGCCTTGTTACTCTATAGAAAATACGTAAACGATAACTTATCATATATTTTTCTTTAACATATGCAAACCCTTTCAAAAATTTAATAATTTGAAGTGTCAGGTGTAGGTCATGTCATGATGGCATATCCTCAGGCCTAGAATGTCGGAGGAGGGACACCCATTTTTTTTTCTGAGTATAGTAATTTGCTTTAGTGAATTTTCATTTAGATGGTGATTGGCCCACCACTTTTTGTTGCTGTAAGGTCGAGCACTGGCAAATTCCAGGATTTGAAAAAAAATGTACTAAAAAGAAAGAGAAATGTCCTGTTCTTATATTCCTGAGAAGCACAATTTATTCAAAAACTTCTTCATGCTATGGCCTTCAACTTCAAAGGTCCAAACCAAAATGATATGCCAAATTCTTGCACGTTCAATATTCCTAAATGAACAAATGTGTTGACTTGAGAGTCAAAGATGAATATCATACATGGGGTCATGACAGTGGTTAAAATATAGATCTGAAGAATCTCCAAATCGGCAGTTACCACATATACTCGAGTATTAGGCTAGTTGCAAAACCTACATACACGCGTTCGTAAAGCGCCCCATTTATGGGAAAACTTGTCCAGACATTTTAGTACAGGGTTATAAAACCATGATCTCCCCAAGGGAGTTTCCACTGCCCCGTGTAGGGCCGAATACAGGCCCCCATTCCCAATTGCAAAATCTCTCCCTTTTCCCCAAAAATGAACCCACAAAGTTAACTTGATCAAAGTTATGGTAAAAAAAAATGGCCAGGTTTGGAAATCTGAATGAAATGAACAAAATTTTAAGAAATTATCTAAAAGGAGATGGGCGAACATAGCGTGCAGAAAGCCTATAGCTTCAGATATATAAAAATCATGTTCAATTTATGAATTCAGTATTTAGAGTAAAGTTCTCATTATTGAAATTTATGAAATTATGATAAAAAAAACTTTTCTGAGGAAAATTTTAGGAGTGAAACGGTTCACCGCGGTATCAATACACCGCGGTATTTTTTCTCGGTTTGATACACGGTGCAAAATCTCTAATTTTCGGTTCGGTTCATTTTTCGATCGGGATCGTTATTCAGTCGGGTTTGGCATAAGGTAAAACACGTTACTCAGTATAATAAGTATAGAAAACGTAAATTTTTGATGACTGATAGCTTGTAAAATAATTTTTGACAGTCAAATAATTTTAATCAATTTCTTCTAGTCAATTTGCAAATAAAATTCGTAAAATATCTGACTAGATTTAGAAAAAAAAAGAGCATAAAACAACGTTGAATTCGTTTCCTTCTATCAAAATGTATCGTATCGAAAATAACCGAACCGAGACAAAATTATACAATACGTATCGAACCGTGAAGGAGGTGTATCGTTTCACCCCTAGAAAATTTTCTCGGCAAAATTTATTCTTTAATTAAAAAAAATAATGTGGTATTCGTGGGGTTCGAACCCTAGCAATAAAAATCCTGAGTATCATTTTCTTTCGAGACTAGCACGCTAACCACTAGACTACACAAGTCCTGATGACTAGTGGCATTTAAATCATGTTTGTGATATGACCCTTGACTTAATGGACTTCAAGTATTTCTCGAAAAGATGCGAATGATATGTCATAAAAGTATATTTTTAAGGTATAGTGGGTCTTTGCTCCATTTTTTTGGAAACCAAAAAATGTATATTTTTATGCAAACTTCGAGGATTAAAGTTCATAAAAATGGAGCGGAGACCCACTCATATCGAAAAATAGTGTTATAGTATGAGAAAATTACTCTTTTTTGCCCTCTTTAGTGTGTGTACAATACTTCTTAAGTTCTTATGTATATAATTTCAATCTTCTTGAGATTTTTGCAATTTGTAGAGATTTTACATAAAGTATATTTTAATGTTAGATGAAATATCAAGGAAAATTTTGATATAACTGAGACTTAATTTTTCACCTTCATGTTTGTCACACTATAGAGAAATACCGACATCTTACGAACGAACGTAACCAAAACAGGGGATGGTTCATTGTATTCACATTTGCATTGTTGAATTCTTCAATGTTATTGCGATTTCAAAAGATAAAATCCCCGCAGGATACCTCAAAACTACTTCTTGTCGTAGTCGCTACCGTGACGCTACAATACATTTCAATGGACATTTAAACGAGCAAAGGGGTTCCGAAAAGGGAAATACACATGTAAAAGGAAAATGAAAAATGTCTCATTTTGAAGCATGAAGTCAAAGATTCTGTCTTACGAAAACGAAAAACAGGGCGAGGGAGAGTTAAAAAAAACAAACATAAAACAATGGCCTTTTTGTTCATGCTACTGGCTAAACTTTACATGTAAATCATATACGGTGCCAATTTTGATGCACCAGATGCGCATTTAAAGTTTCATAGTGAGTCAAGCATATCATGTGTTTCTTAAGTTTTCTTTTTCGTGTTGGGGCGAACTAAAATTATTTTTACTTATATTTTTCTCCACAAAAGTAGATTTTTTAGGTTCTGAAACCTGTAATTTTCTTAAACCTAATACTTTCAAGAATTGAATAAAATCTGCATGTGTCTTGCACAAATTTGACTTCTGTCAGTTTTCCCGTTAGTCCGTCACAGTGTCTCTTTAAACAAATCATGTCTCTTAAGTAGATTCCTTATTTTACGCAAATGGCCGAAGGGCGTCAAATCTCGAGAACAATAATTCGCGTATGGGTGGTTTATCTAGAGATTTTACATATAGTAAAGCACCATAAAAATAAAAGGGAGTAATTTTATTTCGCGAGTGGCGCTTCTCGCGTAATTACGCGATAATTTATTCCTCGCGTATATTTAGGAATCTACCGTAATACTCATGCTGAATCGTTGGAAATCCGAAATATTTAATTAAAAGAAAATCAAAGAGCTGAAAAGGGGGGGGGGGGCAAAGACTGGAGCAAATTACATCGAAGGATCGCATGTATCTAAGAAGAAGCCTTATCAACCGAAAAATTACGAACGGGCTTTTTTTCCCACGGATTCATGATGTGGCTATAATACATGTACATGTACGGTATATTGAAGCCGGGTTTAATTTTATTTTGACAGTTTTTTTAATCCAATGCCCATTACAAGGAATTATCACCTCTGACAATATCTGTGTAGAAAATTAATCAATAGCCATTCCTGACGTGACATACATGAGAATGTTTTTATAAATGAAACTCATGCACATTCATTTTAAAATATTCAGTTTTTTACAAATAAAAATGCAATGCAATTAAATCAGCTGAACAGAAATTGGCCTTAGTAACCCCTGTCCACATGAATGCTGCTTCGGTGAGTAATTTCCAGACACGTGGTATCAACCAAATTAGGTTAGACCATCTTTAAAAAATTGTTTCTTTGCCCTCACCGACTGGCTAAAAATGACCCGACTCAAAACTTGTTTAACCTGAGGAAACGATAATTTTTTCTCCTGAATTTTCATTCTCCATCAATAAGAATGTTGACATTTTCTGGGAAAAAATTTATAACCTATCTACCAACCCAATTTTTATATGATAATGTATGAAGAAAATTTTGTTCCGAAAAAAGTTGGACCCCCCCCCCCATGAAAAAAGGATTTTCGAGTTTAAACCCCACCCCTTTTTTGTTTTTGTTTTGTTTGTTTGTTTGTTTGTTTTTTTTGGGGGGGGGGGGGGGTTTGCTTGTCAGATTTTTTCTTGTAATTTGATTTTTTTTCTCTGGCTCCCCCACCCCCTCCCACTTTTAAAAACGAAAGAAAATTATATATTCTAATTCGACTAATGAATGATAAATAAATCTGCAGCAATATTACTTTTACCAGAAAGAATTTATGACTGTTTTAAAAAATGAAGAAGAAAAAAATATCAGTAGAAACTACATGTACTTCTACACATCAGTGAAAACTCGTCTGTTCTGTTTATTTACCTGTGTGTGCAGTGTCTTCCCACAAATTTTTATCAAAATAGAAAATTTGGTGTTATGACTATTTGTCATAACACCAAATTTTCTATTTTGATAAAAATTTGTGGGAAGAAATTTTTATCAAAATAGAAAATTTGGTGATATGACTATTTGTCATAACACCAAATCTATTTTGATAAAAATGTGTTATGACTATTTGTTATAACACAAAATTTACTATTTTGATAAAAATGTGTTATGACTATTTGTCATAACACCAAATTTTCTATTTTGATAAAAATTTGTGGGAAGACAGCAGGTACATTTTAAGCATGCCTTGACAACTCAGTGAATCAGCGTCATGCACTTGATGTCTTCAAATTATTCACATTTAGAGAACTACAGTATCTTTTTGTCAGTATACTTGAATTAATCAAAGATTTTTTTTTTCTTAGAAGTGACGCAAGTTATAATTTCGACTACATTTTTTTTTCTGTACATTAGAGCTTCGGTCGAAATTACTCTGAGTGCGGGGTCAAAGTTACCCTTCACGTATACAGTATATCTTGTAATTTTATATTCTGACGAATAATGCATGCCTAACAAACAATGACATAATGGTACATAGCTTGAGTACAAAGAACATTTAAAAAATATACACCACCCACAGACATGTAGCATCAGAGGGGCCTGCCCCCACCTTTTCCACACATTACTTTTTACTGTTGGAAATGTTCATTGAAAGGCTTGTTGCCCCCCCCCCCCCCCCTCCTTTTTGTTGCAGTACAGTCAAATAAGGCTAAATAATGTAGTAATGTATGAAAAAAATTGATACCGAAAGGTTTGTTGTTGTTTTTTGTTTTTTTGTTTGTTTGTTTGTTTTTTTTTTGCTTGTCAGGTTTTTTCAGGTAAGTTGAATTTTTTTCTCTGGCTGCCCCCCCCCCCCTCCCCTTTAAAAAATCGATGCTACGTCTCCAACCCTACCCAAATACATAATTTGCAGTTTTTATAATTCACATATCTATACAGATATAACATATATCATGAAAGGCAGCCGAAGGATAAATTAAGTGAATATTGCAACATAATACATCATCCAAGAAGATAGTCTATCATATGAATGCTCGTTTATTTCTTTGAAGTGATATTTCACATAAAGAAAAACCTACCCTTCTTTATGAAGTTACTTTTTCTTTTACTAGATACGATATGGAAAAAAAAATATTGCATATGCATGCATTGCCCCATTCCACTTTTATAAGGATTGTAGTATATGGATCGTAGTATTCCATGTATTTAGTTAAATGTAATGAAAATGAACATTCAATTCGATTAGTTGAGCTTTGACCTCCTCTCCCTCCCCAAGTACACAAACATCTACGCGCGACCACTTTAAAAATATTACGTTTTCCGGAGAAGTGCCAACTATTTTCTGATTTTTAATGGTTGATTTCTGAAAAGTTAGAAAACAATGCTACATTGTATAATTCATTACAACAATTATTGCCCATTGCTCTCTCTCTCTCTCTCACAAGCACATAAATGTACACTTTTAAATACAAGACACTGTATAAGCTCATCACCCGGTAACTTGTTGCCTTTGCATGGATTTATACAGGGCGTGAGTTTAGATTTCATCCATGCTATAAAACGTAACTTTCCTCAAATGAACACAGCTCACACTAGTATATACGTATAACCACTGACGCATGACAAATGTGTTTCCTAACCCGTCATAGGTATTTTGGCGTATTTTCTTCTATTTGTCCGCTTTTAATTACATTGTAAGTGATTACAGAAAATTAGACAGGAGAAATTATCATTAACAAAGTCATTAAAATACTGTCCGTTCTATTATACACATATACTTAATTTTTCTGATTTATTAATTTTAAACTAGGTGCAATAACTGGTCCCGGGAAAACTACCCAGATACGGGAAGTTAGGGCGAGTTACGTTCGTTCGTAAGATGTCGGTATTTCTCTTATAGGCTTTTCGCTCGTCATGTTCACCCATCTTCTTTATTATAAATGATCTGTTCTGATTTACATTTCTGAATAATTAAGTAAATCAAAGATCAATTTTATTCATCATAAGTGTTTATTTCTTAAAAAAACATCATGCAATAAAATTTCCCAATAAGTGATAACATTTTGTTAAATTCCCAATTCCAAGGGCCTGGGCCCATTCCCAAAATGGAGTGGAAAATCTCTTCCCCCTCCCCATTAAATAGCGTGCTTCTAAATCCTGTATTACAAAATTATGGTCCAGACAAGAATTTTACAAATTGTTGTGACCTTGTCCAAATCAATCACATTGAATCGGGACCATAACATTTTTTTTTATTATAGATCTACTTCTCGCAAAGTATGAACTTCTATTCCTTTCTATATAATATTTACATTCAATGTAAATATCTTTACGAATTCCATTGGGAATTTAGAAACCCCCCCCCCCCCCATAACACATAAGAAACCTTGTCAAAGTGCTGTAGAATACACAATAGGAACTATTCTACTTACACTTTCAATAAATGAGGAACACCAACATGTGTCTTATTTTTGCTCAAATTAATTAAAAACAATTGCTCTATTAAAATTTTGTAAAAATGTAACATTTGTAATTTAAAATTAATGTGTTATCAGGCGCGGATCCAGGATTTTTATCCAAAAGGGGGGGGGGGGGGGGGAGGTCCACCCCAGTAAAAAAAAAATCTAACCCAAAAATTTCTTTACAAGCCAAAAACACACACACCCACCCACCCGCACACACACACAAACAAAACACGTTTAATAACTGCAAATTCCAGGGGGGGGGGGTTCCGGACCCTTCCCCCCGACCCCCCTCTGGATCCGCGCATAGTTATTTTTCCCCTCGCAAAATTCATTTGCTTATTTAACTTCCCGCGTTATACGGTTCTTACGTTTATTAACCATGCGCTAACGCGCGGCATTCAATTTGTCGGCTCTGACAGGTGCTGTTATACGACCAACATATGATTCAGTAAGGAAAGAATAACAAGACATGTTTATTCCAACTACACAAAAAGTATCAATTCAATGCTTAAATAAAGCTTGGGTCATGCATTTTACCCGTCCTCTGTGACCAAGGGTGCGTTCAAGAGCGTAGCGGCTACGTAGCCTCTATGTAAAGCTACGATCTTGAACGTTAAGCTAGCTAACCGCTACGTAGAGAGAGCTAGCTGCTAAGCATAAATAATTAATGCTCAGTACAAAATCCAAGATGGTTTCTTTAGTTACCATTTCGCATTGCCCAAGACTTTAACAAAAAGGGGGATTGTTTTATACATCTTAGCGAATTTCTACATATATATTTTCTCTTTAAATAAATTATTTTTGTTCCAAAAATAATTTTTTTACTAATATGTTTTTATCCAAAATCTTACCCTTAGCAGCTAGGCTAGCTGACCGTTATCTATCACTTAAGGTAGCCGCTACGATCTTGAACACAGCCCAGTTTCTACATAGGACCAAGCTTTAAATAATTCTCTGTTTGCAGTTGCCGACCCATAATTTTTAGAGTGGGTAGGTAGGTTGGTGGTTTTTTTAAAAATAAATTTTAGTTCTTTAGTTTTTGTTGGGATTTTCATATGAATACTAAATGTTAGTAAGTTCCACTTATTTTAAAACACTAATTGATAAAAACAAAAAGAAAAAAAAAAGAAAATGAAAGTTTCAATAACGAATATCCCGGAAACTTGATACTTTCAAAAATAATCATCTCCAAAAAATGGCTTGAAAAAAGTTTGGGTCGGGTGCTTTTTTAGTAGGTCGGTAGGCAACAACAAACAAACACATTTTTTTATTTTAGGCGTAGCGAACCCCACTCCCCCTGAACTTCGATTTCGGGAAAATTATACACCTATTTACAAGCTATGAGGACAATAGCAGGTTTATTGTCAAAGGGGGTTGTCCGAATGCTATTGTCCGAATGGTCAGTAAACATGGTAAATATGCGTTTTATTATTTACTTGTGTAACGTCACGATCTTAGTCCGAAATATCTGACGTTTTCCAGGCTTTTTTTCACGATTTTGATGTTTTACGTGCCAGGTGAAAACTCCTGGCACATAAGATATCAAAATCATGAAAAAATCCTGGAAAACGTCAGATACTTCGGACTAGTCACGATCTAGATAAAACCAGAAAAGAGTTCCGAGATGAAACGCGAAGGAATCGAATGTTGCAGGTGAATAGTTCGATGACTATTTCGACCATGGGCAAATAGCACAGAAACTATTCCAATGTAGGACTGTTTAGAAAAAAAAAAACAACAGGTTTATTCATATCTTTATAAAGAAAAAAATCACAGAGGTATTATAATAATAAGATATTATAACATACTTGCCAAACTGAAAGTACTACAAAGCTCACAGTATATACTAATCTACGTAGAAACATACAAAATGACGCAAGTTATGACGTCATAACATGAACGTTTCTACCGTTAGATAGCATACAGGGAGATGAAAAAAGGAAAAATTTATATTTGGAAAAAGGAAATTAAATATCCATAACGTTACATTTTGCTTGAATTTGAGTTGCTAAATATGCTGTTCAATATGTATACGTATACGATTTTTATCATAATCATTTATTAAATGTGCACAATAAGCCTGATGTTAACAAGTCGAAATAAGTAGAATAATGTAACTTGCAAATAAGGAAGCTACTATCAACATAACATACCTGAACAATATTTTAGCTTAAGGCCAGTACTCACGATTTCAGATGGTATGTCATACAAACTACAAAGTGTCATTCTTGCAAGATAAAAGAAGCACATTCTTTCATACCATCGACTTTACGTTTATGAAAATATAAAAATCAGTATGAGCAGATATTAATTGGTAAATGTGCATATCTATGAGAATGATTATGAACAGGCTACTAGATCTATACTATTTACATGTAGACATGGTTAGCCTTTAGCATATTATAATTTGCCCGCTCACCTTCAACATTCAAATGTAGCCTAAATCTCTCCGAGTTCTTTCAAGCTTTCAGTCTGAGAAAGTGATATGTTTAAGTTGTCCTAGCATATTATACATACCTTGATTTATTTGATTATCACACCTGTTGGCCTAGACTGTACTTCTGTATTGTTAACATAAAAATACTTGTGTTCGATGTAAACAAGGATGAATAGATAATAAGTGCTGAAGTATAATCGATAAGCAATTGAATTCCCGGATAACTTCTGAAATCAGTATTAATAAAATCGACCATTTTTATCGAATCTTTAAATCTTTGTTACTAAGCTTAATATGCAAATTGTCTGCAATGAAGCAAAAAATGATATGATATTGACATTTCAGCTGTTATTCTCGTCGGTCCTGCATAACGCCATTCCATTTTTTTTCTCTGTTTAGCGTCCACAAAAACCTACCTACCTATTCGCAAAAACCACACAAGCCAAAAAGTAAAAACACAGACTTTAAAGTCTTACAAATTACATTGTCAAAGGATATAATTTCATTAAGATTTTTTCTTTGTAGAAAGATTTATTCTCTTACAAAATTAAGGTATAAATTGCTTAAAATATATCCAATACGACATATTGTAGACAAATATGTAGTTCTAAAAGTTGGCAGAATTCAAAGATTTCGACCAGAATAACCAATTTCAGGACTCCTGATTTTGTTTGTTTTTTCTGATATGGGGTGTCAAAAACCAAGGCGCACGAGGACGCTAAACATAGAAAGAACTTGGAATGGCCTAACGGCACCTGGCGTTAGCGCGGCATGATAATCTGTCGGCAGACCTGTTCTGTTATAGGACGGACGACATCCATAAATAAGTATTCCAGCGAAGGGGGGGGGGGCGGCCCCCACTTTTTCTGAGTATAGTATTTTGTTATAGTCCTTTAGATGCTGCCCCCACACTTTTCGATGTTGTAAGGTCGAGCACTGGCAAATTCCAGGATTTGGGCAGTAAATTAATTTTTTTGTTTCTCAGCTAATTTTGGTAAGTTATTAAAGGTGTTTTTTTTTTGCTTGTTAGATTTGCCCCCCCCCCCCCCCTATTGCAAGGGAAAAAATAACAAATTAATTTTAAATGCATAATTGTCATATTTTTACAATAATGTAATCGCTTAACGTAGATCGCGGGTTTGCAGGCCTTTTAAAAGTATCCAAAAACATACCATGAAAATTAGCTATATGATTCCTCTGCTTTTGTTTTACATTCTCTGAAAATTTTATAAAATTCGTCTGCATCGTTTTTATGTAATTAAATTCCAAAGATGCCATTGTTGTAGTAACATTTTCGACGTTATTGTTTTGAATTATATAGGAAAAACGTCGATTTCGGCTCGTTTTCAGGAAAGATTTTTTTTTCAAAAAATATCATTAACCTTTAAATGGTGCAGACGAAATTGTTCCCCCTTTGGTATCTTAAAACAGAATTGATTTGAAATAAATCTATCTGAAAAAACTAATATGTCTTCGAGTTTGTTTTCTCGTAATTTAAATGTAGATAATATACACTTATCCACTGGCTGTGAGTGGGATAGCTCTTTTATCAAACCCGCGACAGGAACTATTCCCCGAGGGCTTGCCCGAGGGGAATAGTTCCTGTCAAGGGTTTGATGAAAGAGCTATCCCACTCACAGCCAGTGGATAAGCGTTTTATTATACTGATGTGTATCATAATTTCTGAGGGTTGGATTTACCTGATACTACAGTTCCATAGTAAAAACATGAAAAAAAAAATTATAAAAGTTTTGAACAAGTATTTGGAATAAGATAACACTGCTAGAATGAGCTGAAATCCTGATGACGTCACAATGCTATTGAAGTCAGGATGACATCATAAGTCTATAGATTGATTACAGGAAATCAAACTTGGCGGCAAAAATTGCATGAAAATTTTCCGAGGGGTGGATAGCAAAAACTATACCCCGGGGTATAGCTTTGCTATGTGTGGAAATTTTGAGACTATAAAGATAGTTAGTTTACCTTCTTAACTTTATATAGGAAACATTTTAACAGAAGTATAATAATTGCTTTTATATCGCATTTTTAAGAACTACGTCATTAACGACGTTGGATCCTGATATTTAAAGTCTTAAACTTTTTTTGTCAAGTATATTTTTAGCTTCTACACACATAGCTTAATTAAAAATCAAAACAAAAAATGGGGGTCAATATGCTTCTTTTGGCGCTACAGTACATTTAAAATGACCTTTTTGCACTGAATTTGTGTCTTAATCAAAAATAACATCTTCGACGTTTTCCCTCCAATATTTTTTATCCAAATAAATCATGGGGACAAAGTATGCTATTATTCTCTCTTAAAAAAGACACATTAAAATTGTGACAAAGAAAAATTTTCAAATTGCTTCGCATAATCAATTATTTGACCTTTCTGCACTCACAAAATGTCATTTTTCGGGCATTAAAAATTTAACAAGCAAGAAAAATATTTTAAAGTCTTAAACTTTTGCTGAATTTAAGTAGATTGATCAGAGTGATCTTATATATTCAGAAAAGAAAATCAAAAGTGGAGGTCTATGATGTTATTTTTTAGATATTACTAAAAAACTGTTAATTTTATGATAAAATTGGCTCAATTTTTTCCTGGAGTTTCAGAATATATTTTCTATATTTATCACAATATGATGATAGAATTCACAAAAACTGATTTAATTAATATTTTAGAACCAGCACTAAACATTTCAATGCGCAAAAAAGCTCTGTGTGCAGCCAGCATTTAAAAATAGGAATCTAAACTTAACAGTACTGTATATATTTCAGAAGGGAAAAAATGATCATTTTCTTCTAAAAAATCTTCCGCCACAAAATATAGTTCCTGGCTTAATCCTATTTGAATGGAATTTAATCGCGTTTTTTTTCATTGGATATAATATAATTTGCATTGTAGAATCCAGATTTAATGTTAGAACTTAAAAATAATGCAGAATTTTAGAAATAAAGCTCCAGACCAAAATCTGCTCAAAAGCTCAGGATCGAACGTCCTTAAATATCGCGACTTAACGCTTGACGTCGTGAATATCGACCCAGTATACAGAGCAGAAAAACAAATTAAAATATTTTTGATTCACGTTTATCTGCTTTCATACGACCCATGAATCGTATCATAATAATTCAATAGCAATGGAATGATTATTAGACATGTTTCTCTTCTAATATTCTTTGCATGTCTCATATTAGTGAAAATTATCTCAATCAGTTATTGACAATCAGTCCTTTAGTTTCTTTCTTTCAATGTATTTTCTTTATGCGTTGTTTTCTTACAGTTTTTAATTAAATTGAGCCAAAACAATAATATACATTTTGGTGTTCCTAGAGTTATTGAAAGTGCATATAGTTTACACTGTGTATTCTACCACGCAGTGACAAGGTTTCATGTGTGTTATAGGGTATAGAATGTTGAAGATTTCCGATGGATTTTATAAAGAAAATTACACTGAATGTAAATATATATTTTTATGGGGGGGGGGGTCAAGAGTGTAAAGGTTCTATGTAAAGGATCCTGTGTTTACCACATGGCCCCAAAAAAAAAAAAAAAAAAAAAAAAAAAAAAAAAAAAAAAAAAAAAAAAAACATCAAACAATTACAGAGTTTACATAGCCAGTGTCATTTTATACGATTTCTACTTTCGATAACAATATTTGTTATTAATGTATACTTTGCAAGTACATAATTTTTATTTCAAAAAGCGTTCGATGATCTTTATTAATAAAAGAAATTATTAAAAGACTTGCAAATGTTTCATTTCTTATTAATTACAATGATGTAAATTGATATTTGCTTCATTGGGGACAGTACTGCCCATGTCCCCCTCACCCTTTTTTTTCTTCAAAACGTTTTTCTCTATAATGAGATAGCAAATATTTGATATTTTTACACATGGTACAATGTACATGTGTCATGTTAAGGTAACGTAGAATTTTGACTGGCCGGTTGAAAATTAAACGGGGGGTGGGGGTGGGGGGTAACTTTTCAACGTTAAATTAAAATATATACATTTGTGGTATCTCTCTATTATATAAACACACGGAGAGCAAATATCTTCATACCTGTATTCAAGTTTTTCGAAGGTCATAGGTCATTACGTGACCTAATCACACAGCGCAGTAATATCTACTTAAAAGACTTACTCTACTTAGCAATATAGCATGTTTTCATGCATAAAAATGTACAAAATACGCAAGTAAAATAATTATAATAATCATTTTATTTACAGAGTAAGCGAGTATTAAATACAGTTTTTGATCAATTAAATTTACATAGAGAATAGAAAACTACGTTTTATAATTAAGTTTCATGTCTGAGCTGCATATTATAGTCTCAACGTTTACCCTTATTTTTCTTGTAGAACTCTGAATGCTTTAATTTTTTTTCATAAAACTTTACTAAGTCTATGCTATTGAGCAAGTGCACTGTTTGTCACAAAGGGAAAAAAACAGTGTAACACTCCACTGACCTTGACCTTTGACCTAATTTGCAAAAAATACCCGGGGTAGTTTAATTTAAAGCATGACTCTTGAATTTTTAGAGGCAGGGTTTTAGTAATTAGCATTTATACATATTTATGAGCTCATAATACTGCACATTGAAACTGTATTTTATTCAGTTATCACACAAACTTATATTTAAAGACTATGAAAATACACCGGGATCGATATTCCACAATGCAGGCCTCTAAGTGACCTCTAAAATTTAGACGCCAGCTGGCGCCTAATCCAAAAAAATTAGTCGCCAATGAAAAATTTTAGTCGCCTGGCAAGCTTTTCTTAGGCGCCAATCTTAAAACCTGATATTGGTCAATACACAGACCCATCTGGGGTAGTCAAGGAAAGGGGGTCTATTGCAGTCATAAAAGAGAAAAGTCAACAACAAATATAAGCCATTAAATGACAAAAGGTTTTAACTTAAGCATGCAGGTTAAACTTCATTGTCTCAACCACTGTCCGAAGTCCCTGTATATATAGCTCTCTCCTAATTGGAGAGGTTCGTATGCATTTTGGTGGTGGTGGTTTGCAACAATGGAAAAACTCATATTCAAAAAGTTTTATTTATCGATCATTTTTTAAATAAACTTGGATTTTATGAAACATTCTTTTAAAATATTATAATATTTTATTAAAATATTAATATCCAGTTTAACCTTCCTTG